GTCCCTTCTATTCCTATTTTGCTGAGAGTTTTGATCAGAAATGGGTGTTGGATTTTATCAAATGCCTTTTCTGCATCAATTGATATGATCATGTGGTTCTTCTCCTTTGTTTTATAGTAATTGTGTTTTTTGAGAAGTCATCAAACTGTTTTCCATAACAGTGTACCATTTTACATTCCCACCAGCAGTGGATAAGGGTTCCAATTTCTCCACATCTTGCCAACACTGTTAGCGTCTGATTTTCTGGTACTAGCTATCCTGGTGGATATGAAGTAATAGCTCATTGTGGTTTTGGTTTGCATTTTCTCAGTTGAGTAATGACATTCGGCATCATTTCATGTACTTATTGGCCATTTGTATTTCTGCTTCGGAGAAATGTTCTATTTGAATCCTTTGCCCAGTTTTTGATTGGGTGGTTTGTCTTTGTTGTTGAGTTATAGGAGTTATTTATATATTCTAGATATTAAGCCTGTATCAGATACATGGTTCCCAAATATCTCCTCCCATTCTTTAGAATACCATTCTACACAGGTCCAGATGTTCTTTGTGTGAGTCACAATTTTCACCACGGATTCAGTGCATTACCTACACACTCGAGGGCATGCTCTCTTTCAAACTGATGCTGTAGTTGGGAAAGGAGACACTAAGATACATTTTTCTGATTGTTTCTAGGGCCTCAGTAAGAAGACAGGAATCTCTTCAAGCCATCTCCAAGCCTTGTGGATTGGTTACAGCACAGAAGGGCTATCTGCTGCCCTCGCCTCTCTCAGGAACCTTTACACTCCCAATGTGAAGGTGAGACAGCATGTCTGAGGGAGAGACAGAGTCCCCTGCCTCTGCTAGTGGGAGAGAATGTCAAGAACATCTTAATGGCATGGAGGGATGGACACAGGGAAGAGGTGACTGTTGGGAGGAAGTGGGAAGGGAAGGTGATGAATTGTGGTAAGTGTCATGAGACAGTGTATATAACCTGCTGTATGGAAAGTGAATTTCCTCTGTAAATTTTATGCAAATCACAATATAAGGAAGATGTGGGTAGTTGGGGTCTGCTTTGTGAACACACAGTTACTGTGCCAGAGCGGATGTGATAAGGAAGCAATTCACAAAGGAAAACGAAAGTCAGAGATTTCCAGGGAAAATTGATGTTTGAAGTGTCCTGAGTCAGTAGTATGACTATCTCTTTATGGCTCATAGATAACAAAGCATTGATGGGTGGCACAAAGAGATGAGCACCCAGGAGGATACTGTGAAAGGCTATCGTGCACACATACATTTATGGTGATGGAAAAAGTATCAGAATCTGCCCACTATGAGCTAAAAGCTTCTTATCTCCTCAGCATTGGTCAGTGACTACCGTGTCACAATGTTCTGCTGAGCTTTTTAGGGTGAGTTGTCCTTCCTAATTATTGTAGTCTAAGCATCTCAAGCATAGAAAGGTAAAGCATCCAGGTAAGGCCACAAAGGTTAGCATCTGGGCCTGCTTGAGTACAGGCCTTCTAAGCCCCAGGCTTGCCCGTGGAGGTTCTGCAGTAGTTTCCAATATGCCAGGTGGTTCTCTTAAATCATATCTATAAAAATGACCAGCCCAAGAAGGCCATCCAGTGAAGGACAAGGGAAAGCCCTGGCCCAGTGTTCTGGGCATCTGTCTTCCACTTCCCCTTACTTTTGTCTGTCAGAAGTAAGAGGGAGATGGGACCAGGCACCCAGAGATGTGACTGAGGGGTACTTCTAGGGGGACTTTCTGTGCCTCTCCCTACTGCTGTCCACTTGTCTCACCAAGGGTGTCCATCTGTGTATCTGGGTCTTGCAGAATGCTTCCTGTCTCTGGTTTGATGTCTGCTCTGCCTGCTCCTAGTGCCTTCTGGCCTCTTGGTATGTTTAGAGGTGAAGGGGGTAAAGAAGCAGACTGTGAGAGCCTGGGCCTCAGGAAAGACTTAGCAGGGCACCAACTCTGGAGTTGAGTCACTGCTGCCCAATGCAAGGCTTTGGTGAGAGTTAGAGAAAGACCATGGCCCAGGGTGGGTACAGATGATACCTTTGCAAAGATAAAGGTACCTCCTCTTCCAGGTGGACTTAGGCTGTATCAGAGTTCAAAGCTTTATGGACAGAGGGCTCCTTGAGCTGGCATCTCTGTGCAGGGCACAGACTGTGCAGCTATACATGTGACTCCTGTGTCCTTCCTACCAAGTGCTGGCTGTTTTGCTTGTTTTCTCTCACTCCAAGATCACAAGTTTGAGTGTTTTTGTCTTGCCTGAACTCTACATGCAATTGTTTATGTTTTATGTGTGTGTTTTATTCAAGTTATAAATACATTAAGAGCCCTGGTAGTGCAGTGGATAAAGTACTCGGCTGCAAACTGATAGGTTGATGGTTCACGCTGCTCCACAAGAGAAAGATGTGGCAGTATGCTCCCATTAAAAATACAGCCTCAGGAACCCTATGGGGCAGTTGTACTCTGTCCTTTGAGGTCGCTGTAAGTTGGAAATGACTTGATGGCAACAGGTTTAGTTGTGGTTTTATAAATATGTATTTATAATCTAAATATATTTATGTTTGATTTTTAAAGTTCTGTGTATAATTATTTTCCAATAACTTCTCAAGGGACAGAGAAACTTAACCCCCCCTCTTTTTTTTAAGTTAAGGAGAACTAGTTCCAAAATCCTGCTTACTGATAACAGGAGGCTCTAGATGAAGCTATTCTAATAGCAATGTAGAGAAAACCATTTCCTAAGTTTAGATTTCAGTTAATGAACAAGTTAAGAATTTTGTTTCACTTGGATTTTATAGAAATTAGAGCTAAGGTTACTACAATAACATCACTTCATCTTTCGTTTCAGCTAAAAGTTTATCTTTTGGCTTCTCCATACTTAATAAAATTTTATAATGATGACAAGGGACAAAGAAATAAGAATAGAAGTGGTAATACCTGTTTTTACTGCTGGAATGAATTATGGGAACAGAGTTATTCTTTTCTCTTAATGTGAAGAAAAGTAAATGGAAAACGTCATCCTCTATTGAGTAAGAGTTTTTAAGACTGTAAATTAAAAAGTAGCTCGTAATAGTGTAATGAGTTTGACCCTCTTGGGATTATAAATTTTCCTCTGTAACATATTTGAAATCTTTTAAGGGTTATTCATCTGTACTTTGTTTTGGGGAACTCTCGTGTCACCTACATCCACCCCATCCCCAAAATTACATCACTTGGCTATAGAATTTTAAGGCTTTGCATTATGCTTCTGTTTCTTTTATCTTTGACAAAAGAAAAAAAAAGGTTTTTTACAGAACCTTGAACAAATTACTGTAATTTAAAATTATGCAGCAATTAAAGGACTTTTTTTTTTTTTTTTAGAGTATTAGATGTTGTCATACAGAAATGAATGTCATTTTGAGCAATAATTGCAGTTTGCTGTTTTAGTAAATTAAAGTGATTTAACTTGCTCAGGGATGATTACTTGGTAGATGGCTTTTAATTGTAGTGGTAAGCCAGTGATTTCTAACAACTTAGTCTCCCTTTACTAGGCCAGATGATGTCAGCCAGGACCTGGCTGACATGCTGAGGTCTTTGCCACCAGGGCTCCCAGGCACCCATCCAGCTAGTTGTTTTGTTTACATTGTCTCCTAGGACTGCTGCCAGCCATGGGCTTCCCAAGGCTCTGGACCCGGGAGAATTCAGCTTGTGATGTACCTCAGGCTGAAGGCAGGGAGTAAGGGGAACAGAAGTTAGACCTGGACTTCGGCCTGGCTTCTTTTGGCTGGGGGATGCAGTCATATTCCAAATCACAATTAGGTGATACACACTTTACAGTGGATGTGCTTAGTGAACCTCATTGCACCTATAGAGAAAACTGAGTGTCCTCTTTCTGACTGCCAGCCGGTGCCGCCTCTGTGTCTCATGACAGCATTGCTTCCTCTCCTCTGTCTCCCACTCCTGTAATCGCATGACCCCCTCCTTTTTTGTTTTCTCAAATTCATTAAATCCAGCAGTTTGTAGATATTATTTCTATTTTCACGTGTTTCCAGTGAAGTAGGAAAAAATTCTCAGGACAAACCATGCAAAACCCCTTCCTTCAACACAGTGCAATCCTTACGAGAGCTGCTACTTCTGCTGTAAAGCTGCTTGCTGTGTGACAGTAGTTAGCTTTGTGCCCAGAGCTGATCTTCTCCTTACTCCCTCCAATCCTGTTTTCTTGCCTGTAAAACCAGAGGTAAAGTGGAACCCATCTAGAGTCATTGGAACTTAATGAGATGGTGTACATTAAAGTCGCTGAAAAAGAGTTGGCTTTTTAAAAAAAAAAAAAAAAAATGTTCAAGACACGTTACTTTTTTTAGTGATTCACACATCTCTGGAAACTGTCACTGTGGTATAGGCACCTAAGAACTTCTGGATGATGGTTGTGTGGAGGAACTACCTACCATGATCACACCAGGTGACTCATGCCTACCTCGCATATGCCTGAGATCTCTCTGCTGCTGACCAGAACTGGGTGGGCACACGTGGTGATGTGGGAGGGGGAGCCCAGACCTCAGGGTCATCAGGCACCTTGGGCAACTTCTTTCCTGTGCCTTCCAGGAATCAAAGTCCTGGGCTCTCGTCCTTTCTAAAGACTATAAAAGGGTGTGACAATAATAGTTAATATTTATTGAGCACTTACTGGATTCTGAGTACTCAGCTGAGTGCTTTATGTATATGCACTTTCATCTTTAATCTTCACAGCAACCCATTAGAGTGGAACTGTCTACCCACATTTTTTTCTAGATGAACAAGCTGAGGCTTAGGGCAGTTAATAGAGCTTACCCCAAATCACACAGCTGGCAGGGGACTTGGCCCTGAGCAAGCCCATGCTCTGTGGCTGCATTTATCACCTGATGTGTTTACAGCCTTGGCTGCCAGCTAGAATCATCCTGGGAGCTGTGGATGCTGAGCCCCAGCTCCAGTTAAATCAGAGTCTCCAAGGGAGGGAGGGGTTCAGGCATTGGAAACTTTTCAAGCTCCCCAGGTGACTTCACTTGCAACAGGGTAAGAAATTATGGGTTACAGGAAGATTCATAAACTGGTAGGGTGTTAAACAGTAAACATACCTGCAGCATTGCACCAGCAAAGGAGATAATTTTCCCCCAAGAAGCAGATGAAGTGTGAATTGATGACAGACACTTTTAGGAAAAGTCCTGCAGCTAAGCACATACCTTCTAGTTAAAGACTTTTAAGGTATTAAACAAGATAGTACTGAAAAGCACACCTTCTAGCATTGCTGCCAAAGAATACCTGTTGGGTAGAAAACCAGAAAAAAAATGTTATTAGGAAGCATCTGAAGCACAGATAAGATTGAATAATTTGCTGAGAATCACACAGCACACACAGTTAAGAGACTGATTGAAAACTGGAATTATTTAATTTTTTTTTTCCCTCTCCCCTTCTGTCAAGCTCATGAGTCTCAAGAGGGAATGGATTGATGGAGAAGAGAGGATAAATGGCTGTCAGAGCCATCCAGGGAATTTACAAACTCTTCCTGCCTGTCTCCCTGTGCTAGAGGCTGAGGTGTGCTCTTCAGTGGTGGTGTGTGTTTTTTGGGAAAGTTTCTCAGGATGCTTAGCCCTGGCTTAAAGCCAGTTTCCTAGGCCTTGATGAAATTCCCTAATATTTTATCAGCAAAATCCTACTCTCCATATAATGATAATTATTCAAAGGGGGGGGGGCTTAATTTAGCACTTACAATTTTAAAATACTTTTGAATTATATAAAGTTCTGGGAGTTTTTATAACCCTTGTATATCTGTGGAGCAGGCTGGGGAGGATTAGGCAGTTTGCCTGAGGTCACATGTTATACATCAATGTTGAGACAGGAACACCCATTTTCTGATTTCTTAGCAGTATGTTTTCTACCTTTCCCTCTGCACCTGCTGGTTGACAGCAGGAGGCTGGGCTGGTGCTGGCTTGGGTCAGGTTACATGAAGCCCCTCTGATGCGTGCAGATGACCGGGTGGATATTGTCAGGGTCTCCTCGGCACTGTGGATGATCTGCACATTCTGATATGTCAGTGACGGTCTTGACTATGCACAAGATTTTTACACTTGGACCATCCCTCTACCTGTGAACTTCTGTATCTTAGAACCAGTGCCTGGGGTAAGAAAGAAAAGAAAAACAGTACAAGAGGGGATGGAGAGTGACTGGGATTTGTGTGTGCTAGTGCTCTGTAGGGTGGGTGGAGGAGGTGTCTTATAGGGAGTGAGGGGGCATTTCACTCCAGGACGTGGTCTAGGAGCAGAGGTTGATAGGAAGCGATGCTCTGGGATCTGTGTCTATGGAGAGACCATTCTAGGCAGAGGGAGCTGCCAAGGCCAAGGCCATGGCCATGAAGCCAGGGCCTGCTTGGCACATTGCTACATGGTCAACAGGGCCAGGGTGGCCACAGCAAGGGGAACCAGGGCAAAGGGTTCTGGGGGAGATTATCAGGAGGAAACTGGGGAACTAGATCCAGATGATGAGGGGTTCAGGTCTCAGTGGCAGCTATGGTGTCATCAGATTTCACCCTATTGCTTCTATACTCATCCTTGTGCTGTCTTGGGATTCCTGGTCATAGAAATTGTCCACATCGATCAGTTTGTAAAGAGTCCTGGTGGCACAGTGGTAAGTAGTCAGCTGCTAACTAGAAAGTTGGCAGTTCTAACAAACCAACTGTTTCTTGGGAGAAAGGTATGGCAGTCTGCTTCTGTAAGAAGTACAGCCTTGGAAACCCCATGGGCAATTGTGCCCTGTGCTGTAGGGCTGCAATAAGTTGAAATCGACTCGACAGCAGTGGGAACAGGATCAGTTTGTAAATAGTCTGTCAGCTTCTCTTATGGACACGCATCACTGAAATGTCCTGCATTTCATATTCCTTGCCTTTCTTTTATATCTTTTAAATATCCCCTTGTGGTTCTAGTCATATAAATGACACAGTGTGTCTTATGGTTTTCACACCCAGTGAGCAACTCATGAGATCTGCCAGGGTTGTGCTCTGGGGGTGATTGAGGCTGTTCAGGATCATTTAAATCTGTGGCTAAAAAATAACTTCAGCTGGGACCAAAGAAGTGAGTGGAGGATAGACGTAGTAATTAGTGAAAAATAGGTTATTTTCTGGGAGGATTATGCTATTGACAGTCAAAGAACTCATGGACATTTTCATGCTCTGCTTTTTTTGTTAGGAACTTTTTTTTTTTTTTTTTTTGTAAAGAAAGGAGTATTATTTGTATTTACATGGAAGGCAAGAATTCTGCCACTGAACATCATTGACCACTTTGTTAACAGTGGTTTTCAAAATAGCATCACCATCACCTGGGAGCTTGTTAAAAAATAGCCATTTTCTGGTGCCACCCCAGACCTGCTGAATCAGAAATCGGGTTGGGGTGCAACAGTCTTCTGCTTTAACAAGCCCTCCAGGTGATTGTAACACACACTGTCAAGTTTGAGGACCACTGGATTAAAATGGTTATGTGGACAATGGAAGATATTGCCCTTCTCCTGGAGATGTTGTGGAGATTGATGTTTACCTGAGAAATTAAAATGATCTTCCTGGGGGATATTGTCCAACAGGTGAGCCGTCTCCTGATCTTGGGTGGAGCCAATGTGAACTACAGGACAGAAGTGTTAAACAATGCCCCTATCCTGTGTGTCCAGTCTCACCTTGGTCATGAGGAAGTTGTCACTCTGCTCCTGGAATTTGGTGCCTCCCTGGATGGAATGTCAGAGAATGGCATGACTGCCCTCTGCTATGCAGCAGCTGCCGGCCACATGAAGCTGGTGTGTCTGCTGGCCAAGAAAGGGGCCAGGGTAAGCAGCAGCCATCCCTGTGAGGGGGTGGGGCGTGGGGTGGGAGGAATATTTTCGTATCATTGCTAGACTTTTTGTCATTTAAAAAACAAAGCGTGGTAAATATATATGTAATATATATGCCATCTGAGCATTCTTCACATGTATAATTCAGTGACATGGTTTGACCATCACCTTGTGTCAGTGTCACCATTGTTTGCCTCCAGATTATTCTATCACCCTTAATAGAAACTCAGTCCCCTCTAAATTCACTGCTAGAATCGTTATCCTCTGGGCCAGATGTCCTTTTGTCTCTACTTTGTGAAATTGCAGTGAGCAGAAACAAAAGGCGTAGAACTATAGGTGTTGGTTGGTTTGTAGTGTTGCTTAATGTGGATGCTCCATGTTTGCAGCCTTCGGAGAGAGTTGGACCATGCAGTTTGCTCATAATTGTTACTACTATTGCACCAGGGTGGGTGCGCGCACATCTGTTGTGTGTGTGTGCGCATGTGTGCAGAATTCCAGGGCGATTCCTGGCCTCTAGCCTCGTGAGGAGGGCCTTCCTTTGAAAAGCATACAAGGAATGCCCTAGGACTCACCACAGAACTGAAGTTAGCCCCGTAATTGGTTGCAAAAGTTTGATTTTTTTTTTTTTAAACTAATTTGTCAATTTATTTCATCTCTGAATATTTAGGTTCTCATGGATATGTTCTTAATCTTTTTTTTTTTTCCTCCTGTGATTTCGGTGAAAGTTTACAGAGCAAATTCATTTTCCATACAGCAGTTCATACACATTTTGTCTCATGACATTGACTGCAATCCTCATGATGTAACAGCTCTCTTCCCACTTCCTCCCTGTAGTTAACTCTTCCCTGTGTCCTGCTTTCCTATGCATTCCTGCCCCCTGGGCTATCTCCTTATGCAAATAATGCCTTTCTTTTTTCCCATGATTGATCATTCTAAGGAGTGTATCTACCTGCTGTAAATGTTCACCCTATATGCCTGTCTATTGTTTGGTTGGAAGCCACAGGAGTGAGTAATTCCAGGCCTGAAGGGTAACTAGGAGTTATAGTCTTGGGAGTCTGGCCAGGCTCTATCAGACCAGTAAACCTGGTCTTCTTTTTTTTTTTTTTTTTTAATGATTTTGAGTTTTGTTCCACATTGTTCTCCCACTCTATCCAAGATCTCCTACACTGATCCTTTTCTGAGTGATAGACAATGGTAGCCAGGCACTATCTAGTTCCTCAGGTCTCATGGTCATATAGGCTGAGGTTTGCATGGTCCACTAGTCCTTTGGACTAATTGTTCCCATGTGTCTTTGGTTTTCTTCATTCTTCTTTGCTTTGGACAGGGAGAGACCAGTTGTTACATCTAGATGGCCACTTGCAAGCTTTTAAGACCCCAGTTGCTGCTAACCAAAGTAAGATGTAGGACAATGTCTTTGTGTAGTATGTTACTCCTGCAACTATGTTCCTGAGTCCACAAGTCCAACAACTCTCTCCATCAGTGAGTTGCAAAGGCTTTAAATGTTTGGGTTTTTTTTTCCCCCTCCTGTCCTTTTCTTACCCTATTTCAGTTTATGTCCCTCCCTTTTTTTAAAAACTTCTTAAAAAAAATTTATTCTGGTGAAATATATACAACATTAAGTTTACCATTTTAACCATTTTTAAATGTATACTTGAGTGGCATTAATGACTTCTGTGTTTCGCAACATCACCACCATCTATTTCCAAAACTTTCTCATCATCCCAAGTAGAAACGCCATACCCATTAAGCAATAACTGTTTCTACATGTACATTACAGAGACATTGATTACATTCTTCAAGTTGTGCAACCATTCTCATTCTCCTTTTCTAAGTTATTCCTCCCCCATTAACATAAACACACTGCCCACTAAGATTCCTGTCTGGTCAGTTATGAATGAGATCTATCCCTAACTGTGTCTTTAAGAATTTGTAGGTAATGAATGGAAACAGCACAAGGAAGAAGTGGGAAGAGTGCTATTACATTGTAAGGATTGGAATCAGTGTCACGAAACAAAATGTGTATAAATTGTTGAAGGGAAAACAAATTTGCTTTGTAAACTTTCACCCAAACCAAAAGAAAAAGAAAAAAATTTTTTTGAATTGTTTGTAGGTAAGTTGGACCAGGTGCAAGCAGTTCTTTTATTTAGCTTTACTTTAATGCATGAAAAAGCTGAAACTTTGAAGCACATAAAGCAAGTGAAGGTGATTGTGATGAAGAATTTATTTTGAGTAGGGGTTGATTCAGTCATTTCAAAGTGAGGGCAAATTTCCATAATATTAAAAGATGTTCCTAACCCAGGGACTGCCTGTGGTTCTCAAGAGAGCTAATGCTCAAGGCAGCATTCTTTACTGGTTAAGCTAAACTATTGTTTGATTTTAACAGTATTTTTGGTGGTTTAAGGTTTCAAGGTTATTTTAGGGCAGTAGTTTCAGAAGTTCATCCAGCCTCCATGTCTCTAGAAAATCTGGATTCCAAGTTCATGCCCTTACTGAAACACTGAAATGAGTTCAATGTGTCTTGGAATCCCTGTGCTTTAGTCTGAGGATGATACAGGAGCTAAACTGCCTGGATGGGAATCTTTTTTTCTCCACTTACTCCACAACTAGGATGTTGGCTGGGAGCTCTGGTAGCATAGTGACTAAGGGACTTGACTGCTAACCAGAAGACTGGCGGTTCAAACCCACCAACCACTCCTGGGAAGGAAGGTTGGGCAATCTACTTCCCTACTGATACTGCCTCAGAAACCCAAGGAGGGGTCGCTATGAATCGGGGCCACCTCGGAAACCCAAGGAGGAGTCACTATGAGTCGGGGCAGACTCAACTGCACATAACAACAACAACAACAGGATGTTGGCCACTGTGCTGAACCTGTGTGCCTCCGGCTTATCATCTGTAGAATGGGTATAACAACTATATCTACCTCAGGGCTGTTGTGAACATTAAAATAAATATATAAATAAATTAAAAAATATATATATATATATATATATATGTGAACATTAAAATAAATATATAAATAAATAAATTATATATATGTGTGTATATATATGTGTGTATATATATATATATATATAGTAACCATATATTATTAAGGAGCTCTGGTGGTGATATTGTAGGAGCTCTGGTGGTACCTGAGGCATTTGACTGCTAACCAGAAGGTTGGTGGTTCAAGGAGGTTGGCGGAAGGAGCAATCTACTTCTATAAAGATTTACAGCCTTAGAGACCCAGTGGGGGTCACTATGAGCTGGAATCAAATCAATGGCAGTGAGTTTTATTTTAAGTTATATATTATTAAACAGTTGCTCTAGGGCTGTCTGTCGCAGTAAGCTTTGTGTGCTTTTAGAGATACTATCTAGTGCAATCCTTAAAAATGACAAGGTACCAAATAAAAATCTTGTCATTGGGGTATTTATTTATGTTAGGTTTACTGTAAGCTTTTAAAAGAGTAGCACCCTGGTTAGCATCTCAGCTGCTAACCTACAAATCGGTGGTTTAAATCCACCAGTTGCTCTTTGGGAGAAAAGACTTGGTGATCTGTTCCCGTAAAGATTACAGCCTAGGAAACCCTATGGGGCAGTTCTGCTCTGTTACATAAGGTTGGTATGAGGAATTGACTCCACAGGCACACAACTACCACATAAGCTTGTAACTGGAGAAAAGTGTATTTTGAATAGCAGTAGAAATAAATGGCTGATAATTATGTCTTTTTAATTAGGATATTTAAACTTGAACAAAAATTCTATAGGTGATAACAAGGGTAGGAGTCGTCGTCCCCCCCACAAACTCACAACTTCAGCTCCTGGAAGAAGGGAACTTTGCGTTTAAGCCTTCCCAGTACTCCCATTACCATGCCTCCATTTCTAGATCCATATTGTCCCTTAGCTTTGTTCTGAATTGGGGCCCCCTCCCTTACACTCCTGAGAGCTCTGTAGGCAGTGTGGTGGCTCTTGCAAATCCTCTGGGTGGGAATGCAAAGCACCCCCAAATTTCTAAGCATGACAAAGCTGGACCTCATTTCCTCTTCCAGCCCCAGTATTCCTAGGTTTAAACAGGAGACAGTCGCTTGTCTGACAGCCCTTTGGAGCTTTAGAAGATACACGCTGCTGTGGAGTAGGATTCAACTCATAGCAACCCCTCCTTGGGTTTCCAAGGCAATATCACTATGGAAGTAGATTGCCCAACATTCCTTCCGAGGAGTGGCTGGTGGGTTTGAACCACCAACCTTCTGGTTAGCAGTCAAATGCCTTAGAAGATACACAGCATGTAAACACTCCCCCTTTGTTGTTGATGGCTGGCCTTCCCTGGTTTTGTGGCCCCACTTTATGTGTTCACTTCTGTTTTTACCTGCCTGCACATGGACTCCAATCAGATATCCCTAGGCCCCCTTCCTACACTGCCTCCTGCAGAGCTAGGTGTTACAAGCCCCTCCCTTTCCCTTGCTTTCCTGACACCATGAGCAAAGAACTCTACTATTCCCCAAACACATAGTGTGTCACAGCAGATGTGAAAGGTTCCCCAAACATCCCAAGTTGGGAAGCATCAAACTTTGAGGTTTTGGTACGAGTCCTCATCTGTGTTTGCCAGAGAACTTGGAAGCTCCTCAGTTTGCTGGAGGAACATAACTGAAAAGAATTTTGTGTGGTCCCTATTTCTTGAAAAGGAATCCGAGGCCTGGAACTGTACATGATTACAGTGAAGTAATTCAGAAGATGGGTTGGAGTTCTATAGAATGACATATATAAGTGTGAAGCTTGTGTACATTTGTAGTGGAATGGAATTTGCACACAGTATTTGTGGTTCACTCATGTTCTCAGAGGAAAGGTGATGCTGAACTGTGACCTCTCCCTGCTCCTGCCCTCAGGTGGACCACTTGGATAAGAAAGGCCAGTGTGCGCTTGTACACAGTGCGTTGAGGGGCCACGGTGACATTCTCCAGTTCCTGCTGACCTGTGAGTGGTTGGAGGGTCCCCAGCAGCCAGGAGCACTGAAGAAGAGCCAAGCCCTGCAGCAGGCACTGACAGCAGCTGCCAGCATGGGCCATAGCTCGGTGAGTGCATTCAGTGAGGGTCCTTCTTGGGAAACTAGTTCCCAAATGGATAGGTTGCATTTGCCAATTGCCTTCTTCTGAGTTACGAGCCTGTGAAGCACTGAAGGAGTGAAAGGCAGTGAGGGTTTCAAGATACAGCAGTTGTTTTGACAACACAGAGAGGTCTTCTACTGAAGACAAGCAGAGCCTTTCCATATTCTTTATTCTCCTCTCTTGCTTGTCTTTCTTCCTCCTCAATCCTACTTTTACCCTGTAACCCTCCTGTTTTCTGTTTTTCACCCTTTGATTCATTCTTTTGTCTACGTGATCTTTTAAAAATAATCACATGGAATCCTAGTTCTAAAATTGTTCTTCAGTATTTGAATGGTTTTTAAAAATAGAACTTCAGTGCTTTTGATAGCATGTGAGAATGCTTGTCATTTTCAGTTCCTAGACAGAAGGAGAACTTCATGCAGTGTTTAAATAGAGCATTTATTTCTAGTAGATGTCAGTGTGCCTGAGCTTGAAGATTTAGTTGTCATTTCCTGACCTGTGTGTCTTAGCTTTATCTGTGGAGTAAATAACATTTTTATCTACTCTCTTCAATGTGTTTTTCAGTCTGGTACTTTCATGAAGACAGGACCCCCCCCCCCCGTCCCCCAATACACTACACACACACACACACACACACACACATAGAGAGCTTAGTGGCTAATTTTTGGCAGTAATTTTTAAAACATTAAAAACACACTTGCATATATACTCACAGACTGCTAAATATGCATATATAAGAGTACAGATGTTTCTTTTTAAACTATTGGCCAAATCTGAGAGGGTCCAGAATGTAGAAAATCATCAGAGAAGACAGTGAATGTCACTTGTAGACATGACCCTTGTCTCAACTCCTATGCATGCCTTGTGTAAAGCTGGCTAGGAGGAATACTGTGCAAAAACCACCTTAGCACAGCTATTATCTGTTTCATGAAAAAGGGTAGAATTCATTTCTCAAAAGACTTTGAGTGTATATAAGTTTTCTATTGCTGCTGTAACAAACTACTATAAACTTAGTGACTTTAAAACAACATAAATTTATTATCGTACAGTTCTGGAGGTTAGAAGGCCAAAATTTAAGGTATCAGCAGGCCAGCACTCCTCCTGGAGGCTCTAGAGGAAATTCCGTTTCCTTACCTTTCCAGCTTCTAGAGGCTGTCTGCATCCCTTGGTTCACAAGCCTTCATCCATTTTCAGAACACATCGCTTCAGTGTCTGCTTTCATCATCCAGTCTCCTCCTCCCTCTTACCTCGATACCTTCTGCATCCTTTTCATAAGGACTGTTTTGATCACGTCAGGCCCACCTGGTAATCCAGGATAATCTTCCCATCCTAAAATCCTTAACTTAATCATATCTGCCATTTCTTTTGTATCATCTAAGTTGATGTTCAGAGGTTCTGGGGAGTAGGACTTAGACATACCTGGGTCCTTCATTCAGACTACCACAAAGGGTGTGGATGTGAGCCTCAAAGATGAATCAAAGATGGCTTCATCTTGCTCTCTTGTCACTGCCAGCACTCAACGTGATCATTGGGCTCAGTTTCAAGGCTCAGAGACTTCCATTTCTCAAGGAGGCATTGTTTCTGCCTCCACACCTGTAGCCCAGCCTGCTCTTTGATGAGGATTCCCACAGGGAAAAGAATAGTGCTGTCTGTTTAAAAAAAAAAAAATTATTTTGAGGGTACTTTATTTTACTTTGTTGAAAAGGTATACTTCACTTTGTTTTCCTCCTTTGTGAAAAACGGATGCACTGTCTTCTGCATATTCATGCAGAAATTGTACTTTGTGTGACCAGTGTGTCCTTTGTTATTAGGCTGGCGTATTTGGGTCAGGCTGGAATTCATTAGAATTCTGAGTACCTCGTAATCCTGTACAGTGTTACTGAAATTCACTGAGATTATGATTTTATATATATAAAAAATTCTTCTCAAAGTGAATGTGTGAATAGCATATGAATTATGCTTGAAAATGGTTTTCATTATATTTTCTCTTATTGTGCAGCATGAGATAATAATGGTTAAAAAAAAACACACTTTCTCTTTTGATATGTGGGATATAATAAACGCATATTGTCATGAGAACTCATTAAATTACCTTGCCGTTTCTGACAGGTAGTCCAGTGCTTGCTGGGAATGGAAAAGGAGCATGAAATAGAAATCAATGGCACCGACACATTGTGGGGAGAAACAGGTAATTATGGTTTCAGTACTTGTAGTCTGGGGCAGCTTTCTTGATGTTTTAACCCCCGTTTTGGCCTATTTGTCTTAATATGTACAGTCCTATTTATATTTTCTCTCAAGGCATTTGAAGTTTTGAGCTTTTTACACTTTCCAAATTAGTAGTAAAACTTTGCTAGAAGCTTACAAAATTTGAATCACTTTCTAATTAGACTAGCAGTTAACTGTGCATCTGACGAATGTCAGATGGAAATACTAAATAAGGTGGTACTCTGGTTTCCGAAGTCATCACACGTTCTTCCTATGAGCCGTTGGAAGAAAGCAGGGCAGGAACATTTGCCCCATTTTCAGGTGAATAGAAGATGGCTCATTCAGGAACACTGTGGTCTGCCATGCCTTATAGAATTGTTACAGGGAAGTGACTAAAACTCAGGCCTACTTAAAATAGTGAAGACAAGATACAGTGATTTAAGAGTCAAAGTCTATTTCCATTGGTTTGGTGGGGGAAATGTCTAAAGTGTGAGGAAAGAGCTTGAAGGGAATTCTTTTTTTTTTTAATGTATTTTATTGAAATATTATTATTTGCAGTGAAATACACAAAACTAAAGTGACATGGGTCAATGCGTTTTTTTTTGGGGGGGGGGACAGTGTTTCCTCCACTCCCCTCCTACCCCTGGTAATCAACAAAGTTCCCTTTCATATATAAACCTCACCTTCACTTTTTACAATAATGAACTAATACTGTATTTGTTCTTCTGTGATTGACGTCACTCAGCATAATGTCCTCCAAGTTCATCCACATTATGTGGTGTTTTGCAGATTCTACGTTATTCTTCAGTGTTGTATAGTACTTCATTATGTGGTAGGTTGGTTATCCATTCTTCTGTTGATGGGCATCTAGGTTGTTTCTACCTTTTTGCTATTGCAAATAGAGCTGTGATGAACATGGGTGTGCATCTATCTGTTCTTGTCCTGGCTCTCACTTCTTTAGAGTATATACCTAGTAATGGGATTGCTGGGTCAAATGGTATTTCTAATTCCAGCTTTTTAAGGAATCGCCATACCGTTTTTCACAGTGGTTGTATCATTTTACAGTCCCAGCAGCAGTGCATGAGAATCCCAGTCTCTCCACATCCTCACTAGCATTTGTTATTTTCTGTCTTGTTGAACTTTGCCATTAGTGCTGGGGTGAGATGGTATCTCGTTGTTTTGATTTACATCTCTGATGGCTAATGATCATGAGCATTTCTTCATGTATCTGCTGGCCACCTGAATATCCTCTTTGGTGAAGTGTCTGTTCATGTCTTCTGCACATTTTTTAATTGGATTGTTAATCTTTTTGTTGTTGAGGTGTTAGAATTGAGGGGAGTTCATTTTAATGAAGATTTGAGTTAGTTGCTTGTCATGTGGGTGCTCTCATGGCATAGTGCCTAAGGCATTTGACTGCTAACCAGAAGGATGGCAGTTCAAACCTACCAGCCACTCCTCAGAAGGAAGATTGGGCAATCTACTTCCACAAAAATACTGCCTTGGAAATCGAAGGAGGGGTCACTATGAGTCAGGTCCAACTTGACAGCAGTGAGTTTAGTTTTTTGGTTTTGGCTTCTCAGGTTAACAGAGATAATGCCTCTTTGACAATTTCCATTTGACTGAATTGATATTAAATATAATAAATTATGACTTGTTAGTTGAATATTGTTTTTTAATAAATGTACCCAAGAGTGGTATGCATTTCTAGGCTGTGTTCCCTGTGTGTGTATGGCATATATGAATTCCATTGTGTAGATTTCATTTTCAAATTCTTTCTAACAAGCCAAATGGTGGGTCAAGTTTATTAGCTCATTCAGCTGCACTTAGGAGAAGCAGCAGAGGTTTTCCTGGCAAGGCCCCGTGACCACAGCTATTTGTGTGGCTCTCCATCGCTCATTGTGGTGACACCTGAGGGACTTCATTACAGAGAAAACACAGCATCCCAAGTAGAGCTGGATTATGCTTGGAGCTAACAGTGTGTTGATTTGAATACTCCTATTAATTCCTTATGGAGTCTCTCTTCCATCCTTGTAAGTAGTACAGGCTGCTCTGTAATTTGGTGAAGAAAAGTTTCTATCATATTCCATAGTGTGCTGTGGGCAGTTATGTAGCTGAGGAAATAAGAACATGGCTTTGCTGACAGAAGAAGGTTCCAATCTCTGCTCTCTCATTGCCTAGGTTAGGGGCCTTGGACAACTTATACAAGCTCCATTTGCCACCTCTGTGAAATGGGTTAAATAGTACCTGTTTGCTAAGGCTTTGGTGAAGGCTGAGTGAGATAAGACAGTCTGCCTGAATGGACCCAGCAATAAAAGTTCTGGGGCATTTGCAAAGTCTAAGATGAGCCCAGAACTCTTAATTTTCTATTGAGCATCCTGAGCCATGTTCAGGTGATTTCTGGCTTCAGGTAAAAGAGAACTTCTGTAGAGAAGTGTGCCTCACCTGTAATGAGCACTGAAGAAGAAGTGTGTATGATGCTGCTGCTGCTGACGAATTGTGTGGTCTTAGTAAGAACTTCACATACTCAGTGGGAATCCTTCGTCTTTAAAAGTCCCTTTGAAATAATTAGCGTGGTTGGCTGCTAACCATAAGTATGGAGGTTGAGTCCACCTAGAGGCACACTGGAAGAAAGGCCTGGAGATCTACTTCTGAAAGATCAACTACTGAAAACCTGAATGCTTTGGTTACTTCATGCGACTACCAGAAAATACCACAAATGTAGTAGAGCTTTAACAAGCAGATTTATTCTCTTACTGTTTAGGAGGCTACAAGTCCAAGTTCAAATTGTCAGCTCTAGGGACTGGGTGAAAGCCCTTGACCTTGGGCTTCAGCTCTGCCTCTTGCTCCCAGCGCATTGAAGCTGGAGGCGTCTCTTTACTCAGGCAGTTCCTGGCTGCTGAGGCTGACAAACCCAAGGTCAACAAGTAAAATGGCATACTCCCAAAATCATCAAACAACACGGCAAGCCACTAATTCAAGTCCATTCACAGTCTCAGGATTGGCAGACAAGATGGCAGGCTCTGAACGGTGCAGGATTCAAGTGTACCAAAAGCTGGAGACCTTCCTCCAAGCTTCTGCTTATACACTGGAAGCAGACCACACCCCTAAGGCAGCTACTCAGCTGCTCCAGTAGATTCCACCATGGAGTTGATTTCCAGTCTCATCATGAGGAATAATGTATCTAGCTGCCCAGCCACCCAAAACCAGGCCCAGCCAAGTTGACACACAACTACCACATCTATGGAGCACTATTTTACCCTGACAACATGGGGCTACGATGAGTTGGGTCAACTGCATGGCAACTGAGTTAGTTAATCTTTTAATATTCAAGGTCATTTTGGTTTTTTTGCAAGAGAAAAATCCAGAGAAGGGTAGACTGCACTTGAGGACTCAGTATGAGCTCTCTTTTTCTCATGATAAATAGCCCTGAATTTCAGCATTCTTCCTTGTGGAACATCTGCCAGATGGACATGTGAGATACACTGTAGACTTCCTGTTAACCACTACCACCCATTGCCACAGAGTAGATTCCCATTCATAATGACTCTAGAGTACAGAGTAGGGGACAGAGCCCTGAGAGTTTATGACCACCATTGTCTGCTACCTTACAACTCTTACTTTCCAGGTCTGTTTGTCAAAGGAATACTTTGAAGTCTTAGGGAAAAGTTTTACCTGAGAAACCATCTGGCAATGTGGAGCTTTCCACGAATGCGTACTGCATGGTCTAGAATGTGAAGTCTGTGTTTGGGATTCGACCATGCCGTGGCCACAGAGGGTCCTGGCCTGTGAACCTGACCCCACTGTAGGAATGTCCACCTATGAGGTGGACGTGAAGACTGCTGAAATCCTAAGACCCTGATTGAGTCATTTTACAGTCTTGTTCTCCTGCAGCCTCATCTTCAGGCAGCAAACCATGGAGCTTCCCCAGCTTGTGTGGGCTGCTGGACAGTGTGCATTGCTTTTTATTGTTTTCACATCAGTTGTTTTGCTTCCTGGTTTTCTTTGGTCTTTGTTACTGGGTGACAAGTGGTGCTTTGTGTCTAAAGCTCTCCAGAATGGGCCTTGCTTGTCTTCTTCCCAGACTCTCCTGCCTGAGGTATGGGAAGATGCCAGAACAACTGCAAGCCTTGTGGATAATGCAGTTCATTATTTCTCTTTGTACACTTGTATAACTTTGTGCTTGTCTGTTCAATATAGATTTAAAGCCACTGCTTGGCTTTAAAATAGCTGATGGGTTACAAGTCAAGGTCTCCGAGGCCTCTTTTTGGCTCACCTGCCCTCCTTGTTTTCTGAGCAATGACCCCGCTTTGTCTAGCATAGCTTCCTGCCTGTCTCTTCTCCCCTCACAGACCAGAAGTGAGGACACTTAAGTGCACAAAGTACTTCTCCACTTTATTTCAGGGAGAGGCCCTTGGAGTCGGTATGTGCCTACTCTATAGTAGAGTATATACCATTCTAAAAGTGCAGTTTTCATGCCTGTTGCTGATTGAAAGTAACAGGTTGTCAGTGAGAAGTGGATGCCAGCAGCAGCCAGGGAGGAGGGAGAGCAGTCAGCGAGCGAGTGAGCTGAGGTCCCTCGTCACCCAGACCATCAGTGTGGGGATAGGCGATCCTGCTCCCTTGGTGCCCTGGGCATCTTGCTGCTGCTGAGCAGACTTGTCAGAAAAGGGCACAGTGCCTCTGCTAGGTCTAAAAGGGACAAGCAAATATAAAATTGACTTTTCAGCCATTCATCTAAAATGCTTGCAATGTTTAGTTTGGAAGGTTATTGCAGTAAATACATAGCCTTTAGAAAACTTGTGGAGGAGTTGGTTTCTGATTTTATCAGTTGTTCGCAAGTTTCCCTTTTCACCAGCAGTCGGCCCTTTGCTTTCCTTGTCAGTGTAATGTAGAGAGCCCAGCCCGCCGCATGTCAGTTGCACAGTTCTGGAAGCTCTTTAGCCTTTCTCCTCCTGTTGCTCTTGTTAGCTACCATCGAGTCAC